AACATAAGCTAAAATTAGTTGCAACATATGTTGCAACATTATAAGTTGCAATATATATAGGTTAAAACTAATTGCAAATAAGTTGCAACATTAAAAGTTGCAACATATTAATTACAGTTCCAATCTTTAACTGGAGTGATGATGTTTGTAATAGCTATAACTATATTGAAGTGACCTGTAATCTCAAATGATATTCTTGCCTTTACTGTATTTGTATAAGCTATATAATTAAGCTCGCTCCAAGTGATATTAATATCAGAAAAGTCTTTTTGTCGCTATTTCCTATCTATGTCTCCATAGTATGCATAGGCTTTAACAGGTGAATTATCAGTTTTAGACAACTTAAGTGTTTTTTCTACTAACTCTCTAGCCATTATTGCTCTGGTAGATACAAATACCACATACTTGTCCTGCCTTAAAAGATTATATCCTATTCTCATAACTTTTGTTCTACTATTCAAATCATAAATAAATTCAGCTATTTTACTTATATGAGACTGATATTTATTATCGATTACGTGAATATTTTCACCATAATAAATCTGGAGGTAAGTTAATGTTGAGATATTTGTGAAGGCATTCATGACTAAACATGTCTCACAGATCTTAAGATATTATGCATTGCATTTTCAGATTTTCATGCATTTGTATCACTAGACATTTAGCACATAATGGTATTAGTTTCATTGAGAATAGCTACAAACAGATGGGCTGTAAATTTGACACGAAAGAGGCTCTCAACCTGTACTATGATAATATCCCACTTATTTATAAATAAGTCTTCTTGCATATTTTGGTAATTGCAAATTTGAAAGTCAGATACTTTTAACTCATTAAATTTATTTTTTGACTCATTGTTAAAAGACTTTCAGTAAGAGATCCAGATATAGCATAGTAAAGAAGAAATATAATATAATTTATCTTTCAATATCATAATAATCTTTTCTAATGTAGTAGTTTTTCATGTTCTTAGAGGAGAATGAATAAATATTGTTATTTTCTTAGTATTTAAGAAATCAGGATATGTTTTAGAAATATCTCTTAATTTTTTTATATTAATTGTCATTTCTGATAATTCTATAAGGAGATGTAGATTGAATATAGTATCACCTATTTTTTCAACTATTCCTTGCTTAGGTTTTGCAAAATTTAGTTGCTTTTCTAAAGTTTAATCTTTTATAATTTAGTTTATATTACTTTTGCCAATAATATTTAAGTATAAAGATGGTTTCCATAATTATTTTAAAAATTTTTAACAAGTTGCAACTTAAGTTGCAACACTTTGAGTTGCTAACATTTTATGAAATTTACAAAGAGTTGCAATTAAGTTGCAACTTCTTAATTATGATACCAATCTTTATTTAAATATAAAGCATCTGTTACTTTGAAAAAAACCATATAAATGATCTTTTTCATGACAGATATTACAAATAGGGCATGCTTTTAATGATAAGGCTTGAAAATTAACAAATCCCTTTCTAATGTTACCAATTTTAAGCCATCCATAATTTGCGGTAACTTGACTAAACTCTCTTGCTTAAAACAGTTTTATATTCAATAGGTTGAAACTCTTCTTTTTCTGGCTTTTCAGAAGAAAAGGTCTATGACTAGACTTCAGAATAATCAGGTTTAGATTGAACTAAATAATTTTCTAGCTTGTAATATCCTTTCTTAACTGAAGAAATTACAGGTCTTTTAATTCTATTTTCTTTTGCTGATCCAAGAAGTCGAAAACTAAAACATGATTTGTAAAACCTAAAATCAATGAATTCAGAGTATGGTTTTCCAATTTTATCGGCAAATTTTTTTACAAAATCCCTAAGATCCCTATAATTAATAAATTGGACATATGAGTATATAATATATCAACTGCATTTATTAATATTAGACGAACTGGCTAAGGTAAAAGCATTTAAAATTATAAAATGTTTTAAGTCAGAATATATATATATCAGCGTAGATAATTAAGATTCTGGATAATAAATCTTCACAAGTAATTTTATATTTATTTAAGGAAGGGAGTTTAGGATTTATTGGATCTGACTTTTACCTCGCATCAATATCAAGAATCAGGCGAAGAGGCAAATTTTCATCGATATACTCATAGGTATTGGATAATTCATAAACTTCAGATAGATGATCAACTACTGTAAAACCCTTTCCTAATACTCAGACTATATATTTATCAAAATCTATTCAGAATGATAAATGCTTAGAAGAGAGATATCATTTTTATTATTAGACAAATATTGAAAACTCATAGCCAGGCTTATAATCAAGATCAGTTAAGTCTGAAAAAAGTTTTATTACTTCAGGGTTAGTCTCAGGATTTTTTTGTGCAAGTAGCATGATATACTGTATATGCAAGAAAACAGCATAAAATAATAGAGAAACTTGCAAAGTTCAAAATAAAAAATGTAATATGTATGACTCGAAAATGTAATAAAAAAATATGTAAAGCTGATCTTCAATCTGATTATTAGCAAAAGCATATAATAAATATACTCAATTATATTAAATTATACTTAAGTGGCCTACAAATACAAAGTAATCAGCTAAAGATACTCAGATAAGGTAGTAATTATACAAGAACAAGAGCTAGAAGGCAAAAACAAGTTTATAGTAACACATTCAAGCAGAATTGTATATAGAAAAGAAAAGAGAAATTTAAATTGAGTAGTTTACACCGATAGGCATGAAAGAGATTGGAAAGGCAGAAATATACACATAAAAAGATATGAAAGTAATATAGCTTGAACTAATTTGATACTTCACATGTATCTTATTCAGCAATTAAAAAGGTTATACAAGATGGAATTATAAGAATAGGTATAAATTTGGCACTTTGTGTTTCATTTCTGACAATCAAAGATCATAAAAGGTAGGATTATAAGAATGGCATAATACTAACACTTTGTATGTGTCTCACCAGCAATCAAAAAGTGAGTGAATAGATTGCAACACATCTTTAGCAAATAGATGGATTGCAAATTCAGCACTTCATGTCTCATCCGATAATCAAGAAATGCCATTTGAGAGTGAAAATTTAAAAGCAATAATGTGAAGGTATTTCAGCGTCAGAATAGTATCACATGATTAATGCAGTAAGATGCAATATAAATTCGCTTAATTTCAGCTAACACAGTTCCATAATTTCAGTCAGAACTTTGAATATAATAATTCGATATCTAAGCTAGAACCTAAAATCATATGCCTTAAAGATCAGTCAGAATTATGACATAATATTAATTAAAATTAATTGCAGATCTACTTTTCCACCTGATGGCTTTTTTTAACATTATTTTGATATCTTAAAAGGTCAACAAATAGCCACATTCTCAATCTCAAATATAGTAACAAAGAGTTATAAAGCAGGAAAACAAAACCTTATTTCTTTACAATTATCAAAAGGCTTCAGAATAGGAAAACAAACCTCTACCATATTTAGCAACTAAATGGCCATAGAGCATTGAAAACAAATGGATATCAACTTGCTCATAAAAAGGTCACAGAGCCTCGAAAATATATAACTAGATAATATTATAATGCAACTGGATAATACTCTTATAAGAGTGTTATCCAGTTAATAATTATTAAAAAGATTAATTTATTATTAAAAAATTTAATTAATAGTATATAAATTAAAATTATCTTTAAATTTTTTAAGATTAATTAAGACTTGTTAGAACTTTTACTAATCTTAATTTAGAAGAAAATATTGCATTTAAAGAGAGTTAACTATATATTACTATAAAATTTATATTAGATAATAAACAAGAATCTTAATTATATTTATATTTAATATTATATATCAGAAAAATATAAGTAAATTCTTTAGTTTCTTTCTTTTTACAAAGTGTCTACATTCTTATCAAAGAATTAAATTTGTCAGTATCAAATTATGTGTTGATAGTGATAAAATTTTAATAATTTATTGGCCAAATGGATTTTAATTTTATAGAAAAATGGAAAAGTAGCTATTGGAATAGTTTTTTTTAAAAAACAAAAAAAGGTTTATGGTTTGCCGCCAAAATATATATAAAGTTATCGCCATAATTATTATGCATAAACCCGCAGGTCTATAATAAAAAAAGGTTGGTAATAGATTAAAATTCCCGCTATTTTTCAAAAAATGCCGATTTTAAAGATCTGGTAAATTTTTTTAATATTTATCCGAAAACTTTGCATTCTCATGATATTAAGTAACGATATACCTACCCACATAAAGTCTAACTATATGTTTAAAGTATTTCTCTTTTTAATTAAACTATTCAGGATATTGAATATTTATTTTTTTTTTACATGTGGATTTTTCTCGCAAAATGCATAGGACGTGATAATTAATGCAACGATATTTAATGCCTTCAGGTTTCGTTGTTAACATTTTTAATTCCTTTGTCTTTATTCACATCTTTTGGTATCATTTTCATGCTATTATAACTTTTTTTCATGTGTAAGTCAATCAATAATAACGAAAAAAAGTTTTTTTTTTCCTTATTTGTTATTGGCAGATAAAATTTTAAATTTTTTGAAACCAAATCAATTTCCCCCGAACACCAAAAAAAGCCATCGACTTGTACAATTTCTGCCGCCCAAAACAAAAAGCTTTTCTGAATAGGAAATGATTTACTCCAGTTTTACTTTTCATGATTAGCGTGTTTTACCCTTATTTTTTTTTCATTAAACTATAAATTTTTTTTGTATTGCGTTACACCTGACTTTATCCCCTAAATCAAAAAAGTTCATTATAAAAGTTCAACACAATAATATTTTATCAAATTTATGGTTTAATATTATACGTTTGCGTAATCTGCGTAATCAACGTAATCAATTGATTTACCAGATATAAAATAGGGCCTCAGGGGAAAATTTTTTTCTATACAAATCGCTTCAACATTCTTGTATAGGTGTTGTCGTGATTCTATTTATAATTAATTGTATTAAATCATGGAGGAGGATTCTCACGGCGAGGCAATATCTCAGACTTCAGGTGGTGGAACTACCACTTCACTTGCCTCCGCTTGCGAACCAATTCATTTACAAGATTATTTTAATAAAATATTACCTCTGGTCCTGGGCGCAGAGAGTAGTGATTTAGAAAATTCATTATGGTCTGTGAGTGAGACCACTGACAGAATAAAACGCTTTATAAATGACCCCCAGGTTAATGCTATATATTTCACAAAGAAAAGGAAGGACAGGAAAGATGAAGGTAAAAAATTTTTTATTACGCAGTAGATATAAGCAAGTTTGGTTACGCGAACAACCCAATGCTAATTTGTAAACGCCACAATAATAAAATTTTTTAAAAGAGGTTTATTTTATTCAAACTTAACGTTTTAATTAATCCTTATTTAATTTCTCCTTGCCAAACAGATGAACAAGCAACCGTCACATATACATACACATGTACACAAGAAATCACTTATCATTCAAATAACGTTGCTAACGTCACTTTCATAAAACTTGTTACTACTTTGGATAATTCTCGATCAATCCAATCACAAATTCAGCTAATAAATTTACCCGGTCCTGCATCAAATGAATTTGGTTCGGCCGGCGTGAGTCCATATGAAGCATTACA